ATATTTTTTGAATTTACATACTAGTTTTTGTTCGCAGTCAAAACGTTTTCTTCACTAAAACATAGATGCTAGCTCCCTACTCCTCAGTTTCCCCTAATTTTTCTTTTCTAATGTTAGGGTTGTAGTAAAAACAAAATCAATGTTAAAAAGTTTTCGTCTAAATTGAATCAGGAATCTAAAAAACAACAAATCTTGGTCTTTTTTATCTTCTTCTACGGTAATCAGAAGGTCAAAAGTATCATAATAACCGAGGTTACAGTCAGGAGTCCCTTCATCGCGTATTCCAGTCAAAATCCATGGAATTTTTTAGATTTGGAAGTGATAATGGTAAAGAAGATGACAAGTGTTTAAGTCCTTTCCAATTAAAATCGATACGGGTTACGTTTCTTCAATAAGAACACGCAACTCGACACAAGAAAATATAATATGCAAGTGTTACAAATAAAAATTTCGTCGAAAGTTATTTTGTCATTTATTGTTCCGAGTACGCAAGCGGCGTTCGCAATATGTATTGCCAGGGAGATTCTCTGTATTAAAAAGCTGCCTGCACTGGGTTGCTCAGTGCATATGCTTAGGTTCTTACAAAGCTTGCTCAAAAAATTTCTGTGCTGGGGCCTGCCGCGCCCTGAATCTCAAAATCTAGCGGTTAAAAAAGATATCCATTATCTACTAGATCTTTATACTTGTCATTTTTTCGCTCTTCCGCTTCAGTGGCAGCCGTACCAGGGTTACAAACAGACCCGGCATTAATCTTACAAGGAGCTAAGGAGTCTACTAACGTTACATCCCACAAGAGCTGCTTACCAAGAGCCCATGCAACGAGCGTCAAACCGTTTGGTCGCTTCTGGTCGGTCCTGTAGAGGTGTCGTGGTTCTAAAACAGACGGAATGTGAGTAGAAGATAAACTCTGCTTTATAAGGGCATTCAGGTTTGAATGCCTAGAGATTCTCTCTACACTTTTGAGGCAAGAAAGACCATGCCAACCATCCTCGGTAACGTCTTTTCAGCACACGCATTTATGCCGTTCGCATATTTTTGAGCCTAATCGAAGTCCTATCGCAATTCTGAGTTGTTGGTTTGACAGTTTTAACCTTAAATTTTTGCACGGGATGACGTTCAACCATTAGGAGTCAAATCTATCTTGGAACGCGTTGAATGTTTTTACGTCCGTTGGTTCGAGTCGTAAAATCAAGTCTGCAATTTTGCTGTCAAAAATTGGCTCCGTCCAATTTTTTGGATTTCATTTTCCGGAGCCATTTCAATTTTTCCAAGTTCAAACCACCGTTTAAGCGCATCATCATAGGTTTCATCCACATGTTCCAAACCAAAGATTTCGCTCAAGGCATCTTTTGCACCTACTGCTGAGGCTAAGAAAGCGGGTAAAGCGAGTAAACGAGCGGAAGAAACGCCCAAGCCACCTTTGGCTGCCGGGAGAACTGCTTGTAAAACTGTTTATCATCCATTTTGACGTTAGTGACCTTGCATAACGAATTTCTTAGTAATTTGGCGTAGCAGTCCAAAAAATCATTTCGCAAACAACAAGGGCTTGTACGCAAAAAATATAGGAGTTTTGGCATGCTAAAGCAATTTTTCAGGAGGTAAAAACCATAATGGGCGTCTAGTTTGTCAATGATATCCGAGATGTTTTCAAGCTCCTTAATTTTTTCATCGAGCAATTCTTTTCGGCAAAGTTCGTCGATTGAAGATCCTAAAATGAGGAGTTCTTTTGTTTTTAATTTTATTTTGGGGCATATTTTTCGAAGTTGTGTTAAAATTGAATTATACTGTGTACTCGTAGTCGGTCCCAAAAAACAAAGTTCACACTTCTCAGTGTTCAAGCCCAGTCCGTAAATTTGTTCCGATTTCAGAATGTTTTTAAGGTCCCGGAGTACTACCTTATAGTCGTCGGCTAAATTTCCATCATCTAAATACCAGATGTTAATTTTCGACTCCAACTGTTTGACTAGTGTCTGAATTGTTTCCGCAAAAAGGGGAGGGCTTCAGGATCACCTTGCTGAATTCCGTCTTCTGACATATGACAGAGCTTGCTTAAAAACTTCCTGTACGACCTGTACGTTTCCGACAAAGTTTTGTCGCTCGGAAGAGGGCATTGCTTCCAGCGCATTCAGACGCGATACGTCTCAGCGTGTTGTTTATGGCAATCGCTCTCAACCCTCCGTCTATCTTTAAGAGGGCGATAAGCTTCGCGCCAAAAAAGAAAGGTCTTAGGGGCTCGGGCATTTTGCCATCTCCAATGAGGTTTATCAGCTTAAAAAGCGACTTCAGAAAATTAAGCCCTGCGCTGCCATTCGACTTACTAACAAGTTCTTTAATAATTGGAGGAACTATTTTATCAGGACCTGCTGCTGATCCGATCGGAAAGGACATTATCGCTTTGTGTAGGTCGAAATCGGTTACGAAAAAACTATCCAAATTTTCTGGATTTGGAGCTGCAAATTTGGCTCGCTGAGGGTGCTTAGACAACAATTTTTGATAGTAATCAGTTGAGAACGGAGCAATTTTGTCATCCGAAGCAGCAAGCCTTATTCCTCACTTTACATTTCCTTCATCGAGCTTACTACTTATTAGCTTTATTCTCTGCTCGAGGTCACTCAGAGGCGGGCTTGAAACTTGGGGATGGGGTTTCGGAAGTGACACGTCATTTGCTCGAATTTTTTTATTTATCAAAGAGCTCATGCTTGTGGTCTGTTTGCGTCCACTTCTTTTCGGTTGCTCCAAAAAAAACAAGAACGACGTTAAAAAAATTAGCCGTTTTGTAACATCTTCTACATTGTAGACGATGTCATTCATTTTGTCCGACAGACTTTCTGCCAAGGGAACACGCGAGTCTTTTGGTACTATCTTGAGTACTCGAACATTTGAGATGGCTGTATTAACATAATTGTCTAGCGACCCGAATTGTTTTAACATAATTGTCCAGCTTGCCTGTATTCATTGGCTTCTGGAACCACCAACATATGACTTGTTTGTTGCTATAAATATTTGTTTTCATGTCCAAAAAAAAATCACTCACCGATCTCATTAGGTATTTTAACTGTCAACCGTAAATTAGGGTGCAATTTATTGCTGGCTTGCAGTATCATGTTCGGTCGCCGTTTCCTGTCTTATGCGGACTGCTCATTTTCACGACAATCCGTTTTTCTGTACATGTTGTTGCATTCAAAATGAACATTTTTCTTCGGGCAAGTTAAAAGGCGTTTCATTGTTTTTCTCGCCATGTCAGTTGGCTCACTCTTTTGATATGCAAGTAAATTGCAACTGGATACTAGACTTTTCCCCCTGAAGTCTTTGTCAACTACATGCTTCAACTTACCTCATAATTTAAACAAATCAACTTCCACCTATTTGGCGCGTATAGTAGAGATGAGAAGGGCTATGGATGCTGTATTTTTTGCGAACCTTAAAATTTAGATTTTTTTTGAGTATTTTGGGTCTGCTTGTTTTTTTTGGCTTCGTTGTCACTGAGTGCACTGTTCGACTATTGAGCCCCATACAATTTTAGAGTGCTATTTTAACATCCCTAAATGTACAAAAGTAATTGCAATCTAAGCTTTTGTAAATCTTCATGTTGTGGTTTTTACGGAATCTGCTGCTTCCGTGTTTCGGCTTAGGCTTTATCTGCTTGCTCATTTCATGTTGCGTCTTTGAAATACAATGTTTTTTTAATGCCTCCATGTGCTCTTAAAGAGATGATAAGACGACGAGAGAAGGAAATGTAAGACTTGCAAAAAACTCCTCTTAAAGCTATGGAAGCAAATTTTTTGTTTTTCAAATTTTTTGTCGCTCACAGTTTCATGAACATTTATTATACTGATGGTTATTGGGAGTATTGTGATATATTTCGAGTCCATTTTTTTCAACTCAACTCGCATAAAAACTTCTGGCACGCTTGCAGTTTTGGCACTTTTGCAGAATAAAATATGCAGTTTATCAGTGACTATTGTTTCGGCGCGATTGCACGAGAACCTTGGTTCGATTCCGGTAAAGGGTGTTAACTTTTCAAAACTTTTTTTTCTGATTATTTTTTTGATCTTATTTACAGCTGCTTCTAAGCTTTTAGTCGTTTGTGTTTGAATGTTTTGGGTGAGGCATATTTCATTAGGAGCTGACTTTTTGGGCAATTATTACTTCATGCGTTAACTGCATTTAGACTAATTGATGCGATTTGGACGCCTACAAATATCATTAGTGGCAAATTTTAAAATACCAACAAAGAATTCTGGATGTGGAACACAGCAGCTTTGTTCCACTAATTTTTGCGTGTACCGGAGCAGCACAAGGCTCTATAAAAACCTTCCAGAAAGTAGCAGAGAAACAGCGAAAAACGGAACGAATCATACTCGGACTTAATAAATTTTATAAGAACAAAAATAAGTTTTGCACTTCTGAGGAGTACAATCTTCTGCCTCAGCGGGTGCAAAACTCTTAAAATTACATGCAACATAGACAATTCCATCGGTGCTATAATCGAGGAGGGTAGATTTTAATTGACAACTCTCTCTATGCTTTAAAATCGACTTGATTCATTCATAAAATTTTGTCTTTTTTATATAGCGTTGGTATGGCCCTATCCAACCTGTGCAGGGACCGTCGCATGACGGAAGGGCCCATTTTAATTGACCCCTTTTCGCTTCATTCGAGACAGACGTTAAGAAAATTGGCCATTTTTTGTTGTTTTGACTTGGTGACTTCTATGGCTAGATTGCCATAATACGTTTGTGTGGCCTCGCAAGTGGTGCGACACTCCGCTTCGCATTTGTCGTAGTTTGATTTTCTTTGTGCTGAGTAGTCCTATAATTGGTAATACAGGGAATGGCCTAAATTATCGACTGCTATAAACGTGAGAAATAGGGTCATTAATGAAATTATAGTTAATGTTCACTTTTATTTGTTCAAGCGTTGAATGAAATATGGATTTTTTCACTTTGTGCTTCATTGGTATAACGACTTTCGTAGTGTTAAAGGTGATTCTGATTTCAAGTTTGAAATGATAGTTAGTTTCTGAACTGAGCAATGATGTCCTCAGTGCGAGCAGGATCTTCAACAATGACTACGAGTTTCCCAAGTGGGAATAAAAGAATGATGCAGTCGAAACAAAATGTGAACACGGGTCCAACTTGGGAAGAATTACGTAAAGAAGCCAGGACTCTGGAAAATGAGATCGACTATAAATTGATTACATTTTCGAAAGTGGCAGCATCTCTGAAGGATAATGATGGGTTTTCATTTTCGGGTGACAAGGAACCGTTGATGAGTGCGTCGAGTAAAAGGTGAAGTTTCCGACAGGTTTCTAACTTTAATGTTGTTAATTCGAAGAGCAGTTTTATTTTGCAACTTTTTTCTGTTTCCAGTGAGAACTTTGAAAATATGTCAGCCGACTTAGATAATCTGCTGAGACGACTCTCAGATGTCAACCAGCAAATGGCAGGTTGTGTGAATACTTCAGGTGGGGGCTTCAACCACACTTTGCAAAGACACCGTGAGATACTGCAGGATTACAATGCGGACTTCAATAAGACCAAAAATAATATAGTGTCCATGCGACAGCGGCAAGAGTTACTCGGAAGCGTAGAGCGAGATCTGCAGTCCTATAGGTGAGTAATTAGTATAAATGTTCCCTTGATCATTCAAAATACTCTCATTCCTTATCAATAACAAATTGTCGATTTTTTGTTTAAGTGTATTATTTAAATTTAATGCTCATAAATAATCAATTGCGATTTATATAATGAGTGATTTTTTGCTAGGAATGGTGGTGGCAGTCTGAATCGAAGAAGTGAGATGTTGAACAAGGAACAAGAGCACGCGAGGAATGCGGACAGAGTGACTGATGAAATCATAAACATGGCATCTGCCACCCGGGACACTCTGTTTCAGCAGAGAGGCACTTTCAAGAAAGTGCAGAGCCAGCTGAACGAGATGGCCCGAAAGTATCCGGCCATAAACAACCTCCTGATCAAAATAAACATCCGAAAACGAAGAGACTCAATTATCATCGGTGCTGTTATATCACTCTGTATTATATTCTTAATTTGGTATGCTATCAGATAAATTGACGCTTTTTGAAACTTAAATTTTACTGTAAAAGCAATTGTTCCGATTTTGTTTGGGAGACATCGTTTGATTTCTGTCAAGAATTTCAATAAAAGTAAATTAGGACAAGGTATAATAAGGATGAACCAATCACATTAGATTTATGAGTACTTTCTTTTATTTCAGTATTTAAGGATTTAAAGCAATTTATGGAAACATTTATGGTGTTTACCTGAGTAGATGAATTTATATATTGTTGACATCATTGTTTTCGCAAGCTGATAGAACAAACCCGAATTGTATAAAATTGAATCAGTTTTTGAAATCCATGCAACCAATTTTTGTGGCCGCGAACCATGCATGACCACTATGACTACGTTTCTATCTTTTTCATGTGGCATGTGAGAAAGGACTGGAATATAGCTAGAGTTGATTTTCGCCATTGTTAACCTAATCGTTACTTGGGCTTTTTCCTATTTTGAGATGGAGCTTTGTGTTTTAGCAAACTAGAGTTACAGTGCAGACTAAAATTATCCCGACAAAAGGAACAAAACTTGAATTTTCAAACGCGTTTTTCTCAAATTTGGTTATGGTTAAATAAAAAGTGAAGAGAACAAAAGTTGCTTAGAATTTCACAAGAATTAATATGGTGCAATTTTCTCAAAATTCTCAACCAAAATTTTACCCCATAATTGGATCATTTTGGCTTTTTTCTAATTAATCAAGAATTACGCTGAAAATACTTCGTTAATAGATGGGAAAATTATATCACAAGAAGCCTTCTACACATCCAAACACAATTCTAGAAGGATTGAATCTCCAAAAACTTGCGCAAATTGTTAAATATTTGTTTTTAAGCAAAGGTTTTGGGTTTTCTATAGTAAAAATTCTTGATTATCAAGCAAAAATAGTTTCTCTAATAATTGGGTTTGGAGATTTAACCCTTGTAAAACTTTGCTGTGCTGTGTAAGAGGCTTCTTGTGATATAATTTTTTAATCTATCAACATAGTAGTTTCAGCGTAATAGTAATTTTTGATTAATTGAAAAAATCCAAAATGACCCATGTAAGGGTGACATTTTGGTTGAGATTTTTTGAGAAATGTTGGCTATGCCCGGTTAATTTAAATCAGCACTGTATAAATCACCAATTTTTAGCTGACATGGAAGAGTAAGCAAGTCAGAACGCATTATTGGCATTGGCAAGTACCTTATTGACAAGCTTAACTGCGCGTACATAACTCGCGAGTGGTATTGTGCGCGTTATACTGTTTTTGAAAAACTTGAGGTAATAGTCTTAATTGGGGAATATGAAACCCAGAGCGCCTGTTGACGTTTATCTATCGATCATGTGTCGGTTGCGTTACCTTGGTCTGGTTAAACAGTCAGTTTTCACTTTTTTGCTGAAAAAGCGGTTCCTATTTGAAATGTTTAACAAGCAAAGCCGAGAAGGAGTGAAAGAGGAGGGCGATTTCAAATGTAGACATGTCAAAAAGAGAGTCATCGGAAGCCAATCGGAGTTGAGATAAGAAAACAAGCGAAGGAAATAATTTCTATCGATTCTGATGGCTAACGACGTGTCAACTTTATGAACTGTCGACATTTTGCTACGTAACCAGTGAAAAAGTACTCTCCTTCAGGATAGTTATGTCTATGTTAACGACGGATGTCTTATAACTTTCTATATAAATTTTTTCAGAAAAATTTATCCACGATCAAATTTGATTTTTTTTTTGAGATTAGTTTTATATGTTCTTAAGTTCACTTCGTGTCCGCTGTCGAAAGGAAGGCAAACTCTACTGTCGAACAGCAAAAGTCACGAAAGACGATCAACTTTTTTTTCGAACGTGGATTTTTCCTTTGAAATTTGACAGCTGGATGAAATATTTACTTATTGATAGAGTTTTCTCATTTTGATTAATTTTCATCAAAAAGTCTAAATCATTCATTTTTCTTGAAAATCAAAGAGTTTCAGTGCCATATATTCTTAACTTTGAAGTTTATTCGCTATTTTCCAACTGTTGTTGACTCTATTCGAATTCTAAGTTAAGGTGCTATCTAAAGACCATAGCTCAAGACTATTTCAGCTGTTCGCTTCCTGAAGAGGCGAATGACATTGATAAACCTCTATCGCCATTATGTTCTGCTTCAATTGCATCCGATTATTGTTTTCGAGAGAAGGTATTCTTCATCCACATTGCAGTTGGGTATTAGAGTGACTTGAACTTTCTTGAGTCTCTCCTTCCTTGTTGGTTTGGTCTCGGTGGCCCGCGATTCAACTTCACAAATAGAATATCAGCACATTTCATAAAAAGACGGTCAGCCGAAAAAAAGCGTTTCGGGGACCTTGTTTTCCTACTGCCAATTGGTTCCGTGGCCGTTTGGTATCAGATTAATAACATTAATAACCTGTGGTAACTTGACTTTGGATGCACTTGATTCACTGAAGTGTATCCTGTGCAATTAAATTGTCATAACTTCTCAACGAAATAGTCTGAGACCATTATTTTGAATCTTTCAAAGAACGAAAATTTAAAAAGTTCGCGATAAAAGGAACGGATATCATATGATTTATGATTGGGGCAAAAGATTTCTGCTACCTTATAGTGCAAATTTTGCTGCTTTATAAACAAAATATGCTTTTTTCTGCTCAATTAAAAGTTTGTTCATTAATCATGCGTTTTTACAAAAGGTTACTGTTACTGTCGCTTTCGAGATAAAACATTAAATCTGGAAAAACGAGCTGAGCCTTTTCATGAAGCAAAATAGCAGAGTCGTAGATATATGCATTTTTTTTCGTTTCTGAGAAATAGAGAAGTTTTTTTATTTAAAGTTAAGGAAAGCAGTGCTTTGATGCTAATTACCCTAGCAATACGCAAGTGTTTTACAATCGGGTAGTAGACTTTTTCCACTATAAATTTTTGTCCACAGGATGACTAAAATTTGGTCATCAAATGCATCTCTATTTCTACCCAACTTGCACGTCTAACAGCTGTAATTCAACAGCTGGCTTCAACGACTGAATTGATAATTGTCTTACAGCTGAAAATTTTCGTAGATGTAAGATGAATTTTTTGCTGGCGCTATTGATTTCGACCTAAATTTTGTCGTTTTATTTACAAAATTGCTGGGTATTTAAAACTGTGGTTTTTGGTAGATTTTTTGAGTACATTTTCTCTTCATTTTCACGAGGTTAAATGTAATTCATGGTTTTGTGGTTTTTGTAGGCGCCAAAGTTTTCTGCTGAAATTTTTTTGCAGTTTTTTTGGATGCATGGTTTCTTACTTTTAATTGTGCTAAAAATGCGTGAAACTAGTTGGGGCGGTAAGTCCTGTTCGAGATCCAGGAGTTTTTTTTCGTGTTTTTTTGTTTACTTTGTTGGCTTTTTCCTATGTTTTTTTTTGTTGCGATATAGCTCTCTTACCATTTACGAGTAATTTTCATAATTGACAATTGTTGATGTAATTGTTTTTTTCCCAGGTTTTCAGAGTTTTTTCAGATTTTCGGCGAGCTCGTTTCTGTGGCAATTGTTTGTAATGTTTGCATTCTTTTTAGTGAATTTTTTTTAATCTTGCACTATAGCAATTAGCAGATATGGACTGTAACCCTCAATTGTTCTTTTTGGATATGCAGATAGTTTGCTCGCAAGATTTAATGAACAGTTTTTTTTGGGTTTGGGATTTTTTTTCTGGGAACTTTTTGTCTCGAAATGTTCTATGGTTTTCATCTAACGGTTATCAGAAAGAAATAGATAGAGTTGAGCCCAAATCCTTCTTTTGTTTTGAAGGTAATTGATTTTTTAAACATTTGCAGTAAATATTTTTTTGATGCTTAAGCCTACGATTTCTTCAAGAAAATTCATTCAAGTTTTTCCATTTTCAAGTTTGAGACACATTATATTTTGATTTCTGGAGGTTTATTGTACATCGCAACAGGTGCGAAGTTCAGCTTTGCCTCTGTGTCCAATTTTTCTGAGAAATAGAAAATCAGCATTCTTTTTATTAATTAAAAAAGATTTCTGAGAAAAAAATAATTCTGCCGTATAACTGAAAGACTGCCCTATCTGCTGCTCTTTAAATAGTCTGCTCTGTAAAATCTGGCCTATCTGCTGCTCTATAAATAGTCTGCTCTGTAAGCCAAGTTTTGCTCGTAGAAACTTTTAGGACCTGCTACTGCGGTTTGGGACACAAGGCCTTAACTTAAAGTGAATAATGTGGAGATAAAATGTTTAAATGCTAGAGTTAAAATTAGGGTTATTAGGGTTAAAACTAAGCTAACATTGGAAAAAAAATGAAAAACATGCCAAGAAAATTAACAGATTTATTCTGGTGAAATATGTTCTGCGAAATTCGGAACCAAAATTTTCCCCAAAAAATGGGTCATTTTGGATTTTTTAGTTAACCAAGTTAATTGATAAGAGACTTTTATCAGGACGAGCTTATTAACCAGCCCAACAAAGTTATAGGTTGAAATTTCCGATAATCATTTTAAGGGAACATAATTTTGCTGGATAATTACTCTCTGAGAAAAACATGTTATGATTTGTATGAGTTTAGCTGAGCGAAAAGTCATCGTTTTCGGAAAAGTCAGTATTTGATTTTTTCATCGTTGTATGAAACAGTTTGACTTTTGTTGAAAACTACACTACCAAATCTGAGATTTTAGGATCAATCGAAAGAACAGTTTGTTTGAAATTCCCCTGCATAAGCAGCGCCTAAGTTTTTTCAACAAAAAAAGGTCCTCGGAAAATTCAAATATTTGATTGCTTAACGTTTTTTAAAACCTGAGATTTTAAGTTAAACCGAAAGAACAGTTTAATTGGAGCTCCCCTGTATAAACTGCGACGCCTAAGTTTTTTACACAAAAAGTGACCCTGGGAAATTTAAATTATTTGATTTCGTAACCGTTTTTTGAATGTTTTTGTCTCGAAAAATAGCCTCATAAATCTGAGATTCAAAGTTCAGTTGAAATAACAGGTTACAAGCGCCCTTAAATAAGCGGATACGCCCAACTTTTTTCCAAAAAATTATGGCCCTCGAAAAAGTAAATCGATTGTTTTTTGACCGTGTTTCTGAAAATTTAAGACTTTTCTCGAGATATCCCTTCCTAAATCGAAAGAACAGATGAACTGAAGTTCCCCTGCTTAATTGGCTAAGCCTAAGCTGTTTTTCCACATAAAAAGTGGCTCTGGGAAGAGTCAAGTATTTGATTTCTTAATCGTTTTCTGGAACTTTTTGACTTCCCTCGAAATTTAGCCTCTGAGATTTAAAGTTCAATTAAAATAACAGATTGTGCGAAGCGCCCTTATATAAGGGGCTATGTCTATTTTTTTTGCAACATTTTATGACCGTAGAAAAAGTACAATAATTATTTTTTGACCGTTTTCTGAAACTTTTTGATTTTTCTCGAAAACTCATATACCTCAAATAGCCTCCAATACCTGACAATTTTAATTGAAATAGGAGGTTGTGGGAAGCGCCCTTATGTACTTAAGCGCCCAGTCAAAACTTAATGGCCCTCGAAAAAGTCAAAAAATGGTTTTTTGACAGTTTTTTGAAATTTTTGACTTTTCTCGAAAACTACCTTCCCAAATCAAAAATTTTGGAATCAATCAAAAGGAGGGTCTGAAAAAAATTCCACTGTATAGCGGTGACAAGCAAATTTTGTTTAAAAAGTTGCTATGGCTACCATAAAAGTCAATGTTTTGATTTCTTCATTGTTTTTGTTTAAAAATTTTTATTTGAGGCTACTAAATTTGTTTAAGAAAAGACTCCCAAATTTTGTCCCCACTCAAGTTGGTTGATAAACAAAAACATGAACAAAGCTCAAGCTTAGTTCATAATTCAAGAAGAAGCGAATTCATTATTTCTATCAATGTTTGTAAAAATTTATTTTTCGGCGCTTCTAAAAAATGGTAGCAGAAAGCTGTGTCTAATATTCATTTGAAATGTGAGCACGGTCGTAAAACTCAAGTGAAGCTCAAAAATTGAAGTAGAAAGTGATGTGAATAACTTTCGGACGTTTTTCAATTATTGTTTTCGAGTGATCAAACATACTTTCTAGACTTCACTGTATTCAAAATAATCACTGTATTCTACACCTCACTATATGCGAGCTTTCATTTATTACTATTTTCAACAATAATCAAGCAAGAGCTTAACTCATTATATCAAAAGCTTAACTTCATTCGATTAACTTCCTCATCTAAAGATCAAAAGATTAACTTCATAACTACATACCTTCACGGATGCCCAAAACTTTCTCATTTGTGAGTAACATCACCATTTTGATTTTGCTTCACCCTTCTCTTCCAGCACTGGAGATCCATGGGTAATAATCGATTAGATTGTCATTTTATAGTCAGTATCTATAAAATTACAAAAATAATCGATTATAATCCATCAAAAATGGATTGTAATCATAGTATTTTTTATATCAATATAATCCATTACAATCGATTATAATCCATTGAAAATGGATTATAATCATAATATTTTTTAAATCATTATACTCCATAATAATAGATTATAATCGATGTTTTTTTTGACAAGAAATTATCGACAGTTTACCATCCGCCCCTCCCACACCCAGTTTACCCCTCCTCAGCTCAGACTTTAGTAAACATGGGGGTGGGCGTAGGAATAAACCTAGGGGAGTGGTGGGGGGAGGTTGTTGAGCAAATGCGGATGGAGAGGGCAAAGTGAGGGGGATTAATTTGAGTAGGTTTAGATTGCGAGTAGGCCGTGAGTAACGCAGAAACGTTGCGAGTTTTGCAAACGATTTTGCAAAAAAATGTAAAGATTATAATCCGTTATAATCAAATATAATGAATTTTAATGGATTGTGGTTTTACGAAAAGAATAGATTATAATGACAATATAATCGTTTTCGTGGTCTAAATTTGCAACAATAATGGATTATAACGACAATATTTTTGACAACAATTTTTCATTATAATCGATTATTATCCAGTGAACTCCAGTGCGGGTTTTGAAACAGTGTCAATGACCAAAGTGAAGGCACTTATTTCCAGTAAATTGTATTATAGTTTATCGCTTGAACTTGATTTTTTGCGCTTTGAATTTTTAAAGTTCAATTCAAATTCAATTGATACAAGGAACCGTTTTTTGACAGAAACCGTTACCAGATTTGCCTAACTTTCTGTGACTGTTGACTAGGTTTATGTTTTTGTCAGATTCTTTCTCCACGTCACGCTTAAAATTAAACAGCACTAATTTGGAAAAAATAGTTGAAATTTTTTTCCTCTTAGTTTTTAAAAATATGGTCGGAACACCGGCTATCCTTGTTTTTTTTTGTTTCTGTGAGTTCAATCACACGTTTCCAACTGTCTCTTGGCTATGTTTGATCTTTATTTTGGTTTTTTGATTAGCAAATTATTGGAAAAAGTAAACGAAAGTTTCATATATATTAAAAAAGGGTCTGTAACGTTCCTACAATAACTTGCCCTTTCAAATTCTACAGATTATGCTCGGCGAAGTTGGAGTAAAAATACGAGCGAAGAACCCTCAGTAACTTCAAACCTCCGTGATAACAAATATATATCCAATTAAATAACTATGATTCGCCATCAGACGTTCAATGGGAGATCATTATAATCAAAATAACTACTGAGCTTTTAAATTGCGTGAGCAGGATTGGATCTGACGCCAAGGTACACACTTTAATTATGTCAATTAGTTTCACAATTCAGAATTCCGTGGAAAAAGCACGACAAAAATGATAAATTTAGCTATGTATGGAAAAATTGCTTTCGATTTCTTTATTAAGAAAACTGAACGTAGTGAAGACTCCTATATAGGTATCGGTGATTTTTTTTTCAGGAAAAAGTCTTAATGAAAGTCTCTAATAATTACTGATGTGCATTCATACATACTGACGCTTTCATGAATGCACTTAGGTATTTATGACTTTTTTGACATCAATTGAATTTCATCTCCTGGATATTACGTAAATAGCACTCTCCAAATACGAACATGGGAATGGCTTAAAAAATGTGAATGATTTCTAGTTTCGAAAAGGCAATTTAATTTTTAGATATCCAGCGGAATAAAAACTTAACCTGTTTATCCAGTTTTCTCAATTTGAGTTAACGTTATCAAAAAGCGCCAATCACAAATAGTTCTAGAAATTTAAAGAGCTTGAAAGGATCTATTTTTCTTTGAAATTCGAAAGTTGAGATTTTTCAACAAAGTCAATGGTTTTTTATGTTTACAAAGTTTTGCTAAAAAAACTGCTCTAAATGAGTCGTTAGCACAATGTTGATTGCTGAAGAAAATTTTAAATGGTTTCGAAAAAATTTAATTGATGCCGACAAGGCTTACATTTTTTTTGCTTGTGACTGGGAGGTGCAATTTTGATTCGTGTTGTTTGCTACTTACAGTTTATCGGGATTATTTGTTTTATATTGCCGTATTTTATTTGCCATAAATTGGAAAACTAATGGAATAGTGGTCGATTTTCGTAAGGGTGAAGGAGGTAGGTTGAGAACGTATTACAAATAAAGTTGTAGACTTCTGGGCCGTTTAGAATCGATAAGTTATACTGAGAGCAAAGTTTAAATATGAAAGATTTGATTTAGATATCTATTCTTTTTGGGCAAATATATATTTTTGAAAATTTGGTAATTCAATCTGAGCAATTAGGCCAAATTTTCAGATTTTTGTAAACAATTGAGTTTTTGTGTTTTTTCTAATTTTCAAGTGTCAATGAACGTAGTCAAGATACCTTTATAAGTTGATTTTGTAAAATTTTTACTTGGAAAAATTATTCACTTCAAATATGATCTCCTGAATGCTTAAATTGTGAATACTTTATGAAACCATTAACAATTGATTAGATTTTTTCTTCATCGTTTTTTTTTACTTCTTTGTATCATTGTCTTCTCACATGCCTTAAGGCAGGGGCAGTGGAAAAAAAATCTTAGGAAAAAATGCCCTGTTGTAGAATTCACGATGACAAAGCTTTTTTTCGACTTTCGAAGAAAGTGAATTAATATCTTTTAATTGATATAGATACCCTGATCAAAAAGTTAAACCAATTTTTTACTTGTAATTTTTTTTTGTCAATCGAGGAGTTTTATAATTAATTACTACTTAATTAATAAATGGATAGTTAACGCGCGACATATTTTTTTTAATAACTCATCAGCGTCGAATTAATCCGGCAAAAGTTATTTCAAATTGAATTGAGGCCAATTATATGGGCAGATTACTAAAGTGCCAGATATAAGCTATATTGTTTTTGCTTAAGAGTGTGTGTTGGGAAGGATTGTAGAAAAAATAATGAGAAAAAAGTCCATGTTTTAGAAACTACTGTTGAAAATTTCAGTTTTTTTTCTAACCAGTTAGTATTTCATGGCATTGAAGGACAGTCAGAAAATTTAGGTTTTTGCCCTGATACAAGCAACTTTGTTGGTCACTGCAACTTTGTTGGTTCCTGATTGATCACTCGATTCGCCTGTAAGTAATGCCTTGTATTGTTTTTAGCTTGCAGTCTCCGTGGGCACTAACAAAACAGGGCTATGTCAAGGTAAGTTGATGAATCATATGGTTAATACAAACTTTAAAAATTACAGAATTTTAGAATGTTAACAGATATTTTATTTTGCGTTGATTGTTGTATACTGTTTGTATCAACTCTATCTTCTGCCATGCTTTTGGTGGCTATCCATTTATAGAAATATGTAGTAGCTAAGCAACAGCTAAACAAAGCTGAATAAAATTAAGCGGACACAATGACAACATTGAAAACTTTAAACGCGGTTTTCTGAAGATGGGTTAACGTTAGACAAAAAAAGAGTGAACAAAAAATGCTTAGAATTTTAACAGAGTTGATAAAGTGCAATTTATTTTCCAAAAAACCTAAAGAAAATTTTGCCCCAAAAATAGATCATTTTGGCTTGTTCTATTAAATCAAGAATTATGCTAAAACTGCCCTTTTAATTGATGAAAAAAATATATCAAAAAAATCCTCTTAAACAGCCCAACAAACTTTTACAAAGAGAATATATTTTTGATTGATAGCTAAAAAAATAGCGAATCATAAATTTTGGCTAAAAACATATTTCTAACGTTTTACGCAAAATTTTGAAAATTTTGCCCTTCTAAAACTTAGTTGCGCTGTGTAAGAAGCTTTTTTGATATAATTTTTGAGTTTAGAAGGATATAGTTTTAGAAGACTAAAATTTTCAAAATTTTACGTAAAACTTTTGAAGTTTGTTTTTAGCAAAAGGTTTTGATTTGTATTCAGTAAAAATGACTTTTTTAGCTATCAATCAAAAAATATTTTTTTTCTAAACTTGGTTGAGCTGTGTAAGAAGCTTTTTTGATATAATTTTTTAAATCAATTAAATTGTAATTTTTAGCATAATTCTTGATTGACTAAAAATAGCCAAATTGACCTATTTTTAGGGTAAAGTTTTGTTTCAGAACAATTGCATTATAGCATTTGCATCATAAAATTTCTGGTAACTTTCTAAACTACTTTCCTTTTGTCATTTTTTGTCTAATCTTAACCCAATTTGAGAAAAAGCGGTTTGAAATTTCAAATTTTGTTCGTTTTGTCCGGATGATTTAAATCAGCACTGTATATTGCTTCGAGAATATTTAAGAACAATTCGATACACGACGTGTCGAGATGTGAACAAATTCGGTACTTTTTATAGGCTGTTGCTTATCTGGTATGAAAAACATGTGAAAAAATTTCACACATATGACAAAATTTTCACACATATGACGCCTGTATGGGATTTCTACTTTTTGAATTGTTTTGGTTGATTGTTCTCGGAAAGATATTGCGCTTGTATTCAATTTCTTATTTGAAAAACGACTCTGCAATAATTAAATATGGTAGCTTGCCAAATGGCATAATTCCCAATTGGCATAAAAATGTAACTTTCCCAAATGGCCTAAATTTCGAGTTTTCTTTGTGATTTATACGTTTTCTATCAATTTCGAATTCTTACATTTTGTCAGGAACGAAATCATGTGAACAAGTTGCATGAAATTTATGCCATTTGGGAAATTTTGATTTTTAGGCAATTTGAGTATTATGCAATTTGAGACGTAACCGTTAAATATTACACTAGTGTTTCAAGTATGACACGGAAACATATTGAACACGTGTCTTTAATACCAACAAATGTCATCAAGGTTTTTATTTACGTTTCATTGATTAAATAACAGTAGTTTCATAGCTGTACATTCAACTTTTGTGGTCATGTTTTGGCTCTGACGGGTAATGAGATGAAAATTTAGGTTGCCTGGAGTGTTCCATATTGCGTACACACGAACAGACTTCCTGGCCTTCTGAGGAGGCGCCACATGATGGTTGTGTGGGCAGTGCCATTATTATGACCAAACCACCCAAGTCCATGAAGCAGTATGATGAGGTTGTGACGACATCTATTTTGGACAAAGTGGTCCCAAAACTGTGGGATAAGTTCACACTCTTCAGCAAGAATATTCTCTCTGGATGTAAGTAGCTGTATAACATGTTTCATCGCATTTTATCAAATTTCTTGGCTTACAGATTGCCTCCAGAATGAGTAGTCTTACCTGATTTTCTGGAAGTTAAGTATAAAGCTTATCATAATGAATAATTAGCCTTGCGATAAGCAAGGGTATTGCAATTGGGCCCTTGACTTATCCCCGTAAATACAGTGCTGATTTAAATTAACCGGACAAAACGCGTTAAATTGGGTTGAGTTTCGGTGAAAACTTATGAAGACAAAACTTGCTTAGAATTTTAGCAGAATTAATATGGTGAAATTTGTTTTGCGAAATTCGGGTCCGAAATTTTACCCCAAAAATGGGTCATTTTGGCTTTTCTCAGTTAATAGAAAATTACGCCAAAAATACCCAGTCGATCACAGACATAATTATATCAAAGTTAGCCCCTTACGTAGCTCAACAAACTTTAACAAAGGTTTTTTCTTCAAAAAAATTACATATTGTTTAAAAATTGTTTTTAAATAAAAAGTTGGTATTTTATATAGTAAAATTGACCTTTTTTTATCAAACAAAAATAAATTAACTTAAACAATATTTTGGAGATTATACCCTTCTTAAACTTTGTTGAGCTACTTAAAGGGCTCACTTTGATATAATTATGTCTGTGATCGACTGGGTGTTTTTGGCGTAATTTTCTATTAACTGAGAAAAGCCAAAATGACCCGATCCGATTTTCGCAAAACAAATTACAGCGTATTAGTTCTGCTAAAATTCTAAGCAAGTTTTATCTTCATAGGTTTTCACCTAAACTCAACCCAATTTGAGAAAAATGCGTTTTAAATTTCAAGTTTAACGCGTTTTGTCCGGTTAATTTAAATCAGCACTGTAACTTTGTTCACGGGATGATCAAATGGACACTGATTACCATTTGACCATTCTGTGAGCAAGGTCATTTACTTTTATACCCACAGGTTTATACGCATGGTTAATTGATAGCATGGTTACTGTTTTGGTCTTGTTTTTACATTAAGAGTTGACTTTAATTGTTTTATCAGTTTCGATTTGTTGGCTGGATTTTCGGCAGTTTAGGTCACTCGGCTTTATTTCTGTCGGCCTAAATTCCTATTGTTTTGTTTTTAATCTGAAAGCCATGTTAGTATTATCATGATTGATCTCTAAGAGGAAATTTTGAATCTTAATCACCCGTTTAAACCCTCCGTTGTACAATTAGAAAAATTCAACATGAAAAAAGTAACCTTTTTCTGAAAAAACAAATTGATTTTTTAGAATCGATTTTCGGCTTTTAGTTCCTTTATTATGACTCTTGCGATAAGAAAGGGTAATACGATTGGGTTTTAGACTTTTACCGTGAGCAACTTTGTTCACAGGACTCATCGACTCCTGGTGGTACCTTGGTTTGCAATGAATTTATTTTTGTTACTGTCTCCTGCACACTTAGCCTGGAGGTAAGAAATACGCTTAGGTAGGCAAAAGTCCTGGATTCGAATCTGACCAGGACTTTTTTCAACTGGTAAAAATTCCGTTTCAAAAAAATTTCAGCATCTTTCGCTGCTAATTTTTTGTCAGCTTAGTTGCCCGATCTGAAATTTTTTTGTTTCTGGTGCAAACAAACTTCACTGTAACTCCTTAGTGTCTTAGTTTCTTTTTAAAATCCGGCCCAATCATTTTTTTTACGTCGGCAGCATTTTTACCAACACGATTTAGTGAAATTTTGTTTTTTCCACTTTTTGTCTTCTTTTTTCGACTTAATTGGTTTCGGCGAAATTTATTTAGATTTAATTTTTGGCATGAAAGGCTTCTGCTGAGGTTTTTTGTGTTTTTCTACCGCTTGATAAGTTTTGCTCCGAGGCTAATTTTGCATTCTTTGTTAATTTTTCCTTTTGTTTTTTCAAAATTATTTGCATCCCTTTTGCTAGATTTGTTGTGTGTATAGTTATAAAACTTAAATATTACTTTTTTGCTAGTGATTTTTCGTCTTTCGATTTAAGTCTCGGTTTAATTTCCAAATTGTGTATACCAACTTGATTTCTCTACCTATCTGGGTTTTGTAGATACTTTTTGGGCAGCACATGTATGTTTTCTGAAAAGATTTTGCCGAGCAATTTTGTTTGATTTTCAGCCAATTGGCTGTCGGTTTTAGTTTTGTCGGCTTATCTACTTAAAATTTTGTTTCTTACAAGTTTCCGATGTTATTTAATGAAATTGTTGTTGTGAATTTAACCCAAATTTAACTTTTCGAATGCTCAAAATCAACTCCACATGGAATTCTTCAAAAAAGTCAAAAATTTGATTTTGTTGTTTTGCTTTTAGTTGTTTCTAAACTTTCGAAATCCTCTTTTATAGTTCTTGAGTTTATTACTGTTTTAAATTTTATTTTGTTGTATCGCAAGTGATGCGAAGCTTAGCTTGCTTTGGTCCTCTAGAATAATTTCAAATTCAATGAATTATCTAGCGCATACCTGGTATTGAGGTAACTAGAAAATTTCTACTTTTTCCGGCATTCATCCTTCCCTTTTTAATTTTTCGGCCTAGTTTTCGTTGCACGTACATTTTTGATCTCTGACGATTCAATTTTTACTAATTTTCTGAAGGCCATCAATTGACGTAATTGAACTATAATTTTTGCGAATCTTTTCTCTCAATTTTTTTAAAAGTTTTTTTAAAATTTACAGTTAAAGTTTTCTTGGTACTTGTCAAACATTTTTGCTTTGTTGGTCAATGAGCATGAAACTATTACGCATGCAATTATTATTCTCCCAGTTAGCATCATTGCTGGTTTTTTACCGCCACGCAATCTTGGTTCCGATGCAAATTTACCAATCAGTTGCTTAATTTTGCATGTTATTTTTGCTTAAAATGATTTGTTTTCCTGAAAAACTTACGTAGATGAAGCTTTTTTAAATCATATATTTTATCAACTGAGGAGAAAATTTTCTAACTTTTGTCTCAATATCTGTCTGCTAATTCGTTGTGCTATGTTAGTGTTGTATTGAAAGTTTTCTGCGTTGTGGTTGTCGACTTGAACTCTGTCGGTTTAGTTCACGAGTTGGGTTTTGCATTCACTGCATATAAAGCATTCATGGACACTATATAAGCAGTATAATTTGTATAATTTTCAGCTTATTGGCTGTCGTTTATCATTTTGTCGGCTTTCTAACTAATATTTCGTTTTCTGCAAATTTCTGGTTTTGTTTTAAACATCGATAAGTCTCTGGCTCCATAATTTTAAATGCTGATTATCACCCTCCCAAAATTCTCCTAGAAAAAAAACTTGAAGGGTTTTACTCATAAAAAACTTTCTGTTTTCTTTTTGCAACTGTTTTTTGTAGTTTTTTTTCAAATTTTTCTTCGCTCAAACTCTTGTTTGCTACTTCTTAAGCGTCATGTTGTTTTAATCTTACTCTTGTTGTATCATGAGTGGTGCAAAGCTCAGCTTCGCCTTTGTGTTATACAATAATGAATGAGTCATAATGCAGCAAAACTTCATAATTGGTCCAGGCGGCAAATAGAATTATGTTTGATGAAAACAACCCTTAATTGATCCAAATGGATTTATTTTGAGATATAGCACCATCGAACAAGCGCAATCTAGATCAAAAAAACTTATCACTTTTGAATATTTTTGTTTTTCGAATATTATGATCAAGTGTTTGCGGGCATAGCCTTTTCCAAAAATATTTTTTTTGGTTAGATAGATTGCCCGCCTATTGTCGTAAGAAAGAGCACAAAATAAACCTGTTAGGTCGTTGGCGAGGATACCGTATTCTAAGAGGTTGTAAGGTGTCCGTCGCTCCTCACCTAAATTCGCGCCTGAGTATACAGTGCTGATTTAAATTATTTGGACAAAACGAACAAAATTTAAATCGTCAAACGCAATTTTCTCAAATTTGGCCGAGTATAGACAGTTGTAGATGTTGGAGCTGAAGTGGGCGGGGGGGGGGGGGTGGTTATACATGGCGGACCCCATGTATTAAGATACGTTATAGATTTCCGGTCCGCCATGCTATGTATTAAGATTGGGTATAGAGTCTACAATTTAATAAGATAGGGAATACCGATGGTAAGGTTTTATGGTTTGTGTGATGGCAAGATAAGTGTAAGAAAAACGAGTTTTTTTTTGGTTTTTGTGTGGAAATGTTTATTTTTTTCGCAAAATTTTTGTTTTTGGCGCGCGTTATCTAATTGGGAACAATTAAATAATAATTACTAGTAGATTGAAGAATTAAGGTTTTGTATTTAGTTTTTTGATGCATGGTAAGTCAATGGTAAGAGTTTTTGGGCAAACACTTGGAATTTTTATCAAAAAAATTGAAAATTTTTCAAAAAAATTTTAAAACACGATAAGATTTGGTATAATTTGATCTAAAAAAACTTCTTAAAATTTTTTACTTTCTATCTATCTGAATCTAGTCTGAAACCTACTGAAGTTCGAAAAAAGTCAAATTTCTGAGAAAAAAAATTACAAAAGTTTCAAGTATTTGGAAAAAATTGCAAAACTTTCATGTTTTGGAAAAAAAGTTCCAGAAATTTCATAATTTTGGTTAATGTATTGTTGCTTCTGATCTAACTTTAAACAAACTTTTACGTATAGAATTTAAAATTGAGCTCAGACTCTATTTTAATTGGCATCATGTTGAGACAATGATACAAAATTTTAAATTCAAAAAAAATGATCTTTTCCACAATTTTTTTTCAAAATATTAAAATACGATAAAGTTTACCTTAACTTGAGCTAAAAAGCGGGTTATATAATGATCTAAACATAAAATGAAAGCTTATAACAGCGGAATCAATACTGAAACTTTCGGAAAACAGTGAAATTAATCGTAATTTTCGAGAAATTAAATTAAAAATGAATCAAATATACCCAAAAATTTCCATTTTGAACCTTTTAGTTTGGTAATTAACTGTTTTTTTTGTCCTGTTTAGGGAGAGTCTTAATAGGAATCTCAATTCAAATGAACATTAAGAGCAATATTCCATAAAATTTCTAGATCAAACTT